CCTGTGGAAGGGATGGAGGTCACTGCATGAGAGGGCAAGTTGACACTGTCTGCGGAGACGGCTGCAGGGATTCCTCCACGCTCTGCGCATGCCCCTCGGCGCTGCGTTCTGGCTGCTCTTCCCAGCAGCAGGGCACTGATCCCCTTACCCAGATCATGCACGGTTTGCCGTGTAACCTGCTCTGGCCACGAGGTTTGGGGGAAGGGACCTGCGCGGCTTTTGGTTTTTGAGTCTTTGTCTCAACAGGCCTCTCTTGCCCTCTTGGGACAAGCCTGGGCCACTCCCCCGAGGATGAGATTGTGAAGAGCTAGAGAGAGGGGCTCAGCCATCTCAGCAATGACAACAACTCCTACGAGGGCCGGGGCAGGTGAGCAGGGCCCTCGCAGGTCCGCAGGCACCTGCCGGCTCGCTGCAGTGAGCAGCATTCGCACGGAAGGCAGAGCTGTCTGCAGGGCTCCACCAGATTGCCCTCTTCCACGGCTGCGAGCAAATAAATAATTGCTGCTCTCAGTCCCGGGCAATTTATTTAACTTCCTCAGCCTATTATGTCATCCGAAAAAAAATTACTAGCAATTTTATAGGGATGTTGGGAAGATTCAATGAATAACTTACAAAAAGCTCTTGGCAATGTCTATACATTCTAAGTACTCAATAAATGGTAGATACGTGTATAATAATAATAATTACAATGAAACCTAGAGTCTTAAACGAGTTCCAGACGGTGATTTAGAACAGCCGTGGACAGATACTGGAGTCTCCCAGGTCAATTCCTTTCCCCAGACCACCTCTCCGTACTGTTAGCCTTCCGCGTGTTTACTTACACACCGTACTTCAAAATCAACAATTCATTTTTGTTAATCAGTTAGACTAATTTATGCCATGATGCCTTCAAGGGCAGAACTATAAAACATGGATGAAAATTATCAGAAGGCAGATATTTCTGCAAGATCGTCCTACTGCTAGACAGGCTGCGGCGCCTGAGGCCCGAGCACACCCCGCTGACTGAGCTTTCCAGAGGGATTCCCTGTCTTCTGTCGGGGCTACTGGCCAGGACCTTAGACGGTGTGGCCAAATACTGTTCATGTCCCTTCCGAAAACTGCGCAGTACATGTTCTGTTTCCTCAAAAAAATCTCTGCATTTTTAAGGCCTACTCAACATGCTAAGTCTTAACATACAACCCATACATTTAGAAATTCCACTGATATTTTCATTTTTAGACATGTATATATATATATATACTCTATGAAGTAACACACGATATGAAAATTTTAAATTGGCCTTCTCTGATTGAGATCAATAATCAGAACAATCAATGCTTTATGTGTTAACTATCTATTCACATGGCTAAAAACAAAACAAAACAAAAAAACAACAACAAAGCTTTCAATAAGTTGTTGCCAGAAATCTATTGTCATTTATTAATTCATTTATACAACAAATATTTATGAAGCATTTATCAAAGTCTTCCTATACACTAAGCATGGATGTGGTCTAAGGTTGTATTTGAGGGAAACAGCTATAATCAATACTTTGAATCCAAAGAAATAATGAAGACCCTTCACTATTTCTCAGTGTTTAGTTTTCAGTATTTTATGTTGAGAGAGACTCATCATACGTACACTTATTTACCTAATCATTTGACATTGTTACAATGACACAGATGCGTTCCAGACATTTTCTTACTAAAAGTCAGTCCTAAGTTTACTCTCATATCCGGATACAGTTATAAATTGAAGAACTGTTGCTGAGGCTTGACTTTGGGTTAGGATGGTGATAAACACTTCTGAGTTCATCTGTGTGGCGATGAAGGCATAGAGGACTTACAGTTAGCTATCACACATTTGCAGCATGTAATAGGTAGCTACCTGAGATGAAAGAAAAACTGCGACATAATTAACAAAAACAAAATGTTTTTATGTCCTATTAGGATAATGTGAACACAGGTCAGAGGTTTATTTTATGGGACTGCTAAACAATTTCTAATATTCCCAGTTAAACTGAGTAATGGCTCTGGTTTGTCGCGATAACTTAAATTGAGCTTGGCAGATTGGTTTCTTTTCCACCTTTTCAAAACTTAAACTCAATATATATATTTATATAAAAATAATTTATAATTATATTTAAATAGTTTTTTATGATGGCCTTTTTGATGCCATCATTCCAAAGCATAAACAGAATCTGAGGAGAAGCAATGGTGGTATTTTGGGACATTCTGGGAATGAGTGAATTGGCAAAGAGGACTACAGTTAATAGGCGTCATCTTTGATGGTGTTTAACACCAGAGCAAACACAGATCTCCTTATATTGACATTAAATGCCGGTCACCTGCCTCCCTCAGGGTGCAGACCTCGCAGGGAAGGGCAGTGTCTGGGGCTGACGCCCACTGGCTCTTCGGTGGGAGGCAGTGGTCTGCCGTGGCCACAGCGTAGTTGTCCTCAATCTGTCATCGACAACGTCAAGAGTATAAAAAAATGTCGAGGACCGACATCAAAATCATGCTCCGAACTCCCCCACAAATAAGAAAAAAGGGAAACAAAGTTCACTTAAACATATTTGCTATAGAAATCAGTGCAATATTCAGCTGTCAATCTAGGCAAAAAACCAGGGACACCCCCTCCTGTCAGTGGGACAGGAGAGCACCATTTCCCGCAGCTGCTGAGCTGGGGCTCTAATTTTTACTCAACTCCCTTGGTAGACATTTAATTTCTTTATCATATGCAGTCTCGGCAAATCGAGCTTCAGCAACATTGCATTGTGAACTATTAATATGTCATGTGATAACAAAACACCATAGAATAACCTTTGTCATGTTAAGAGCACCCACATTTCAAATGTCAAGATTCTGAACTCGAATACACGTTAAGCAGATTCCTGAATGGGCACATGAGTTGTAGTAACTGCCGTCAGGCTGATGCACACGGCTGTGCACACGTCACGCAGAGGCGCAGCCGGCCGTTGGCAGGGCGGCTCCGGGAGAGGCTTGGGGCGTGTGCCTGCACTGCCCAGGGCGCCCACCGCGCATTGCCTCCGTGGAGAAGCACCGACACCGAGAAGACAAGCTCATATTCACAACAGGTATCACTGCTAATTAGGGGCCATATGAGAAACCACTATGTAGTACATCTCCATGATGCAAACAGGCTCCTTTGCAAAATCATGCATGGAAAGGAATTGCTTTTGGAATTGGCATTATATAACTCAAGGTGACATCATTGTTTCAGTCACTAGTCTCCACAGAACCATTTAAAATAGCCTTTGCACAAGAAGTTTGTTTGCCCCACCCCCAAACTGAGTAACAGCTTCTTACCCCATCCTATGCTTTATGTGCCAAATTTAATTTGCATCTGTCATAACTCTCCCTCTAAACCAGCACCACAGACTCCGGAATCAAGAGATTAAATTCAAATTAGAGGCTCAGAAGGAAGTTAGCCTCCACGTTTATTTCTGCTGCGGATCTGAATAAAGGGAACTGGTCCTGGGTTACGGAGACAGTGTCCCAAATCAATGCAGGTCCCCAACACAGTAAAGACAAATGTCTCTGATTAATCAGAATTCAATTTCTGCAAGCAAAGAAAACAGCAAATTCAAAGCAAACACTGCTGGTTTTTTGTTTTGTTTTTTGGCTACAAGTCTTTAGGAGTACCTGATCAGCAACCTATTTTTGTTTACATATAAAAATTAAGCTCTATAACTAATGTAGTCATTAAATGCTATCAGAGACTCAGTTTTTCCCAAGGGATTAAACATTTGATTATGGCTTCTGAGTATTCTTAAAAGAAGCACTGAAACAAAGAAAAATATATTATTGATATTTCACGAGGTTGTAAACACTTGATTAATGATATTCTACAGCTGAATTCAGTGTGTTCTGTGTATTTTTATACATTGCTTCACCAGACTATTTCTAACTATTCAGCCTTTTTTTTTTTTAAAGTACCTCCCTTTAGCTATTTAAACATAAATACATTTACAAAGTATTTTTTTCATGCACTGTTTTTTATTAACTTTTGAGGATTTTCAGATTTTCTTGACTACAGTGGCTCTTCACACCATGCAAAGCCCTCTGGAGAGAGCGGTGATGTCCGGGCCCTGAGCACCAGCTACGACCCTTCCGAGAGAAAGCAGCAGAGAAGGCACTTACTGGGGCCTCTTTGTTCTCTAGTATCTTCTGAGCCTAAGGAAAGGGCTGTTTAAATAATGACAATCTTTCCCTAGTCACTAGATCCACACATTCTTATACATTAAGTATCACTAACAACAAGTCAGTGCTAAACACATCAATAGGTTTTACATTTAAAATGTCATCAATGGAGGTTTAGGAAATGTTCAATTCTGCTGCTCTTTGATAATTCAGCCTTTGCCATGTGATCAGCCCACTTCGCCAACACGCTCACAGGCTTGTGTGCTTTGGAGAAACTAGATCTCAAGTGAAATACATAGTTTATTTTCTGATAAATATGTCCACTGGTACTGTGAGCTCAAAGTCAACATCGGGCCAAAATAGACTCAGGCGTGTGTATTTGGGGGAAAGGTTCTGCATTTAAACATTCAAGAACAATCTTATCTGTGACCAGCGCCAATGAGTGCACGGGGCCTCCTCGGGCATGACTTCGATCTCGCACGGTGCCCACGCCAACCCCACCGGGCCTCACGCCGAGAGGGGCGCTTGTCCTCATTCGCACATGTCCAGAACCCACAGAACAATGAACACTGCAGGAAGAAGAACTCCGCTGATGGCAATTATTAAATGAAACAGACACTTGTGTAATATTTATATTTTTCATGCTTTCTAGACAAAGCAACATGATAAATATATGCCCCCCCTCCACTGGGGCAGAGGAATCAAAGGAAAGTAACAACTGACATGTACTCAGAGGGCTTGTCTGGTAGTTTCCTGATGACTATTGCTTGGTCAGAAAACTCCTTCTGTGACAGTGTTCACGACCTGACTGAAATACACGACAGACACGGAAACATGCCCTCGGAAGCATTTTCTTACCTTATCCAGAGAGAACGTTTTGGTCACGGCGAAACCCCAGCCGGCCTCGAAGGCTCTGCGGATCATCGTGGTGCTGGTGGCAGGCGTCGCGCTGGCGAGCCCGAACGGGTTGGGGAACCGCAGCCCCGCCATGTCCACGTGGATGTCCACCAGGTCCACGGGCGTGTAGAAGAGGGGCAGCTCGGGCTTGGCAGGAACCGCAGCTCCGTGTTGTGACTGCAAAGAAAAGCGGCCAGGAATTGTTCTTGTGTCAGAGCTGCTTTTTCATCATCTTTTACAAAGATCACTGCAACCCAGCATTTGAATTTGCGAGCTCACACCAGTCGGTGTACAGTGATGGGAACTGGCAAGGAGTCAGTCAGCAGGGACCCGAACTGATACAATGCCATCCCCTCCCATTTGAAAAGTGGCAGAGAGAGCATCAGCAGAAACACAGTCAATGAAAGAAACAAACGAAAACTCTATTTAAAACATACTGAGATTCCAACATGAAAGGGAATCATTTCAGAATGTACCTCCCTGGTCCCATTAACCCAGCCTTTTTGAACTTAATTTGTGAAACTGTCAGTACTGCTTAGAGAGAGGGGCGACAGCAAGTCGGGAGGCCAATTCAGCATCCAGAAATCTCACACTGCTAGTGAGACTGTAGGAAAGCCACCTGACATGACCCTGTCTCTTCTCCTGCATCACGGTCAGCACAACAGCAGGAACGCCAGGCACCTGACTTCCGACCTCATCAGGATACTGGCCAACTCAGGAGCTCACAGGAGCGCTCAGGGGGACATTTCATTTGGGAGGTGGGCAATGTCTTCACATGCGTGACCGATTCTCTTTTCAGAAACCAAACAGGTACCAGCCAGGTACTACTGCAGCCTTCCACTGGCCTCCACTATGGAAGTCCCACTGTGAGGGAGCACTCTACAAACGCACTTGCATGACTGGAAACACTTCAGAGCAACACTTATGCAAAGTGCGCGGTACCACGAGGCAGTCGCTGTTTGCTGAGCGTGACCTCTCTCTGACTACTGGGAGGTTCCTGAAGATTTCGTCAGGCCTTTTGTTTGTCAGGTGTCTCTGTCTGTCCTCTCCCTCCCACATGAACTCCTTAGTTTACCCAGTGGTTCTCAACCTTCCTGATGCTGGGACCCTCTAATACAGTTCTTCATGTTGTGGTGACCCCCAACCATAAAATTATTTTTGTTGCTATTTCATAACTGTAATTTTGCTACAGTTATGTCTTTGATGACCCCTGTGAAAGAGTCGTTTGACCCCCAAAGGGGTTGTGACCCACAGGTTGAGAACCGCTGGTTTATAGGATCCCAGTTGTGAGTGGGCTCCTCCCCATCACACCTTTCTAGTCTCATCTACTATCACTCACAACATGTCCTGTCAGACTAGTAAGCCTCATATAACTTCTCAAACAAATCAGCAGCATTAATGGATCTATGCATTTTGACTTTTTCCCAGACAATGTTCTTTCCTGCCTGGTTTTTCTGCTTTGAACATTCCAACCAAACCTTCCAGAACCATCTCCACTAGGAAGCCGAGCACAGCCACCCTCACCACACTGCCTGGTCTGCTCACCTGCCGTTCCTCCTGCCTAATGGAATTTCGGCACCCAGGATAGCACTTGGCAGAGACACTCAAATATTGTTTCCTACTTTTTATTGAATGTATTGGGGTGATGCTGGCTAACAAAACTATGCAGGTTTCAGGTGCACAATTCCACAGCACACCATCTGTACACTGCATGTGTGCTCACCCACCAAGTCAAATCTCTGTCTGTCCCCATTTATCCACCCATACCCTCCTCCACCTCCCAACAACCCTCTACCCAGCGATCACCACGCCGTTGTCCATGGACACTCAAAATATTTGTTGAATGCACTGGACTAGTGACCTTGGGTACTTAGTCTCTCTTTCAGACCAGTTCGTAGTAAGATGATAATCAGTTTAAATGCAGTAACTATCAGCTGTGTTCCAGGCATATGAAAGTCCATTATATCTCATGATTCTAATGGGGAGTAACATTCAACTCTTACCTCTGAAGGCTTGAATTTAGGAAAGGCTCTCAGAAGGGCCATCTAGTGGGAATGGTAAATAACTGCTCTGCGCAGGAAGTCAGTATGTGAACACGCGCATGCTATAATTCTCTCGTCTAAAGCGATGTAAAAATTCGTGGACCTCACAATGTTGCCACATCCAGCTTAAAGTCAAGCATTTTTCTGCCCTCTGTACTTTTTAACTTCCAGCTTAGAATGGACGTCTTTGTTTGCAAGTGACAAAACTATCCTCAGAAGGTTACTATGAGGGTACAGAGGTATCTCATGAAGGCAAGCAGCTGAGCCTCCAGGAAGGCAGGGGTCCGGTGATCTGTGCTTCCCTCTCCTCCCCTACAAGCTTCTAGTTTATTCTCCTGTCTGCCAATGGGCCTCCTCTGCTCCTTTATCCAGAAGGGTTGATAATTTATAGGTCTTGCCCAGTCATTTTTAATTCTACATATTAAAAACATTCTGAGAGCTCTGGCTGGTTTGGCTCAGTGGTTAGCGCATCGGCCTGCAGACCAGAGTCCTGGGTTCAGTTCCCGCTAAGGGCACGTACCTCGGTTGCAGTTTGTCCCCGGCCCTGGTTGGGTCGTGCCAGTGGCAGCCAGTGGATGTCTCTCTCTCACATTGAAGTTTCTCTCTCTCTCTCCTCCTCCCTTTCTCCCTCCCACTCTACCTGAAGAAAAATGCAAAAATGTCCTCAGGTGAGGATAAAAAGAAAATAATAATAATAATAATAATAATAATAAAAACATTCCGAGAATTTTAAACATTTTGCTGTCCGGGCCTGATAGACTCCACACTAACTCCATCAGAATCGCTCAGAGGAGGACTTCAGCATTAGTGACTTTTAACTCCCGCCGGGGAGGACTGCGATGGGCACCTGAGGCTGAATCACTGGTTCGCAGGTGATGGCTTCTCATTCCCAGTTCTCAGGCGAGAGATTCCTCAGTCTACCTTCTTCAAGTACATGGTGACGGGGTTCTTTTAGAAGAAGCAAGTACATCGTGAGCCAGGGGGCACTCTAGAAGGGCTCATAAGGGGACCCTGATCTGCTTATAAGGTATTGGGTGTGACGACCACCAGCACATTATCTAAATGTCGGGGCCTGCTGTAAAACAGGCCCCTTGTATTATCCTCAGAATCAGCAACATACTTGTCTATTTGCAAATGATCCTTATACCAGACCCGGGGATGGATGCTTTTCACTTATTCTCTCTTTTGATCACAACTCTTTGAATCAGGCGCTATTTCCTACTGAAGAGTAAGAAAGCGAGGAGAGTAAACAACTTGTCCAAAGATAAGCAGCTGATGAGTGATGGACAAGACCTGACTTGGGAGCTTACACTTACTGCATTATATCATGATGTCCCTCTTTACAGAAACATCATTTCTCTAAAGTGCTAATGTTCTCAAAATGGAACTGACCAGAAAATTATTCATGATGGTTCAATCGAACACACACACACACACACACATAAACACACACACACGCTGGAAAATCTATTATCAAAATTTTTTTTAAATGCCATTCAGATATTGATAAGAAAATCAATCCTACTTCCTTTCATTTGAGAATGGGGAAAAAAAATAGAATCTTCAACAACACTGGCCCATTATTATGTCATTATACTGTTACTCCTGGTCCCAGGAGCTCTCCTGCTATACTGGCTGGGTCGTGGAATTAGAGACAGAGAAATTTGCATGTATAATTGTTACATTGTTGGGGAAAAGCAAATCACATCATAATTATGTATTCCAATTGCATTTTTTCCTAATTTGCTTTACTAGAATAATTTTTTTTAAAAAGCACTGTTAAAAGCAAGACCACTGGTAGGGTTGTTTTGATTGAAGAAGAGAGAATCATTCCCACCATGTTCCATCCCATTTAAACCCATCAAAAAGCTTTCACTTACTCATTTTATTTATATTTCATTGTGATATAACTACAATGGTCCCTATCTTGGGGTACAGCTGCTCTAGAAGCATCCATTCTAAGACTATTCTATGGCAAAGAATAAGTAGCATTGTGCAGCTACTTACGGCCAGATTAATTCGTAAGCTGGATTAATGCATTAATTAACTCCAGCTCAGTTACTTTGCCCTTTGAAGAAATATCTTTTGAGGAGGGAAAAAACTTGCAAAGCAGAAATTAATTTGGATTAGTTTCTTCCAAGGAAAGGCCTACGTACAGTGATTATAATTATAACATAAAATCAAATTCCATTTCCCTATTTTGAGAGACTGCAATTTGTAATGAAAACTTTAGAAAAGACATAAGGCTATAGAAATGTTTCTTAAAAGTAATGATCTCATCATGGCTGGTGTGGCTCAGCAGTTAGAGCATCAGCCCTCGAACCGAAGGGTCTCAGGTTTGATTCCCGGTTGCGGGCACAAACCTGGTTTGTAGGTTCGATATCCTCCCCAAATCATGGTGCATGCAGGAGACAACCAATCAGTGTGTTTCTCTCACATCGATGTCTCTCTCTCTCCCCACTCCCTTCCTTCCACTCTCTCTAAAATTCAATGAAAAAAAATATCCTCGGGTGAGGATTAACAAAAACTATAATTATAAAGATCCCATTTTATTCACTTTTTAAAGGATATAGTCACTTTGCTCTTAATACTTGTAACCTGAGCACTGAAAAAGGATACAAAGTTAAATGATATTAACTCAAATGGATGGCATCTTTCCTCCCTCTGAACTCAACCTCCACCCCAACTCTCAGCCCTTACGAAACTTTAGGCAGCATCGTGCAAAAACCCCTCCTCACTTTCCCCTACTTATTGACTTTATGGAACAACTCTGTGTATCATTCTTGATATCTCTTCTCTCTCATTCCCCATTTCCCTCCTAAGGACACCATCTCCCAAATTCGGGAATCCACACAGTTCCACCTATTCTCACGGGTACCAGTAGCTCTCCCTGGGACTGCTTCCTACCCGTTTCCTCCGGTTTCCCCGAGTTCCTTCCCACCTGCTGGAACCACCCCTCACTTTGCACCAGAGAAGCCTTTCAAACACACAAACGTGATTGTTCAGAACTTTTCACTAGAGTCCCTTTGCACTTTGCATATGCAAACTCTTCACTGCAGCCTGCAAGGTCCATCACCATCCTGCCCCCCTCCCCAAACTTCCGACGGCTCTCGGGTGGGCACGACCCCAGCCACC